ATCACATGTTGTATAGCATTTTTAAAAGGTAGTGCATCACTATAAACCTGTCACATAATCCTTTCTAGATGTTATAAACATTCTCTTAGGCAAGAGTACAAAATCAGCCACATGTTATCAATAATTATGACTAAAGCCTATCACTTCATCTGAACATTTGAAAAATTTAAAACATCTCCAGTCTCCCAAACTTACAAACCACTGCATTGTTAACATTTATCGAACATCTATTATTTGACAGACCCCAGGGAAGAATAAATCTAATTCTCTGCTCTCAAAGAGCTCACTGTAATAATGTGATTTCATTACTACCACACTAAAGCAATAATATATTTTGGCTCTATCATTGCTTTAGGACAATTAAGCAATCTTCATTCATACCAGAGAACTAAGATTATAATCACTGTATACATTTCTCATTAAGTTTAGTAGTATATATATTGATAGTTTTCTTAGGAAATGAATGAAATTAGAAATAAATTGTTAAATAAAACAACTCTATGCTAATCTGAAGCAGAAAAAAAAATCTAGTAAATGTTAATTAACTCCACATAAAAGCATTGCCTGTGATTTCAGGGTAAAATAAAAACATACCAATAGGGAGAAAATAAAAGCTGGTTCAATAAACTTTCCAAGTTAGTAGATACTATTTTTAATCACATAAGATGATGTTTTACTTTTTAATGATAACATTGTACTATCTAATAATAATTTTACAGCTCAGATGAGCCTATTTCTCACTCAGGATAAAAATAACTGGTCCAAGTTAGATATCTCCCAGCCATGAGGCAAAATAATTATTCTATAGTAAAATCTCTATATAAGATAAATTCCTAATTATTAAAATTTCCTCCAACATTTCTGATCTTATTCTCCACTCCCCTCTAGAAAATCAACAGGTAGACATATTTCACAGTATCTGTCATAGCAGAAAAGAATCAAACAGATTTGTTTGGAGATTATCTCTTTATTTGCTGCCACCAGGTCTCAAAGATGAACCATAGCAATACCCATAAACACATTAGAAACTACTGTATATTTCTTTTCTCAAGTTAATTATCTTAACTATATTTTAAAATCTTGCTTTTTTAAAATTTAAAAAATACAAATATAGAAAAAATATAAATTATGGAATCTTATGAAATATTATAAAGCAAACACATGGTTATTATAAAGTAACCATCACCATGGTCAGGTAAAAAGAATTTTGCCAACTATCTCAAAAGCCCTTTCCATGAGCCCTATCCCAATCATAACCTCTTCCCACTTCTCATAAGTAATCATTATCCTAACTTAAATAATAATCATTATTTGTTTTTTATACCTTTGTCATCCAAAAGTGCACCTGCATACACTATTAACTGTTGATTTCCAAATGTATCATGAGTTTACATAGAGCATTGTGTATAGATGCTAAATATTTAAGTTAATATGTTTTAAAATAGAAATGCAAGGAGATCAAGGTTTTACTCATCTTAAATGTTTTCTCTCTCTCTGTCTTTTTTTTTTTTTTTTGCTTTTTCTCACAATAAGTATGAACAGGGTGATTGTCTGAAGGAAGGGATATTAACTTTTGAAGGAAAGGATATCTATAACTATTTAGCAAATAAAATAATAAGGTGACAAAATTCCATAATCTAAAGAAGCAATGTCAGAAAACAAACCAAAAAAAAAAAATTTTTTTTTCTTTTTACCCCAAGAGCTAAAAATGTTTCTGGGATAATAATTACAAAAAAAAAAAAAAGATTTTATTAGAAAGGATAAAATGGGGGTGCCTGGGTGGCTCAGTCAGTTAAGCATTTGCCTTGGGCTCAGGTCATGATCTCGGGGTCCTGGGATTGAGTCCTGCATTGGAGCTCCCTGCTCAGCCAGGAGTCTGCTTCTCCCTCTCCCTCTGCTCCTTCCCACAGCTTATGCTCACACCCGCACACTCTCTCTCTCTCTCTCAAATAAATAAATAAAATCTTCTTAAAAATAAATTAAAAAAAGTATACAATGGCTAAAAGTTACATCTATTCAGTTTCTAGATCTCCCCTTAATAGGTACACATACAAAAAACAAATGTCTTTCATAAGAGATGCTAAATGCCCATAGCGTATAAAAACACAGGACCACCTCAAATATAAATTTTATTTTACTAAGTTTTTTATTTTCTATTTTTCAGAAGAGACATTGTAATTCACTGAAAGGTAAGTTTTAATCACTTTTAAAGTAAATTTCCTGAATATAAAATTAATATTAACTGAAGATATTTGGAAAATACAGATATAGAGATAAAAATAATAGTCATGCATAATTCCAACATTAAAAGGTAATCACTGTTAACATTTTAGCCTATTTTTTAATTAAAAAGATTATTCGTTATTTACCTCATTATGCCTCTATCATTTCTTCAAAAAAAAGTAGTCTACCTTTCATTACCCATTCACTCTTATAAATAAAGACTATAAAATAACAAGACTACTTTTTTAAACATGTGAGAATTTTACATGCAAATAAGTATTTTTTTATTCTAAAGATGAAGCTATTGAAGAAAATATTTTTCAGAATGCTCCCTTCAGAGTTACCTTAAAATTCAGTAGGTATAAATATTACTATTATAGAAATGGTCCCATAATGAACTCTAATAAAGAAATATAACATTCTAGAATTTTACCACAATCTTATTGTTTATTCCTGTTTCCCATTTTCTTCCCTGAGTCTTTCAAACTTCTATATCTACACATCAAACATGAATTATGTCGATCATCTTCAGAAACTGTCACTATTAAGAAGTCAGGAAATTCTACTCATGGAAATTATCATTAAAGTGTGCTACCAAAAAAATGTATTTCTAAAAATCCAATTACAACATGAAATTATGTAAGTAAAATCCTTTCATAAACCTCCATTTAAAAGAAAATTCTGGAGAAGTATTACAACTGAAAATAAACTGGCTTAAAGGTATAATAAAAATGCCACCTAAAAATAAATTTCTTAAAACTAATACTTAAGATAAAGTTATAAAACATCTCATAAAGCATGTGCTAATATTCATAATGGATTATAAAACCCAAATACTTAATTTTTTCTAAACTACATTTTCTTAGGACCAAATTACATGCTAAGGGTTATTCTTCCTTGAAAATCTAATTTCACTCATACCTCTAGCCAATGCTCATTTAAAAAAAAAAACCTGAAATATTTAAGTGGGCTTCTAAAGCTAATAAGTGTGACTATTCTCTGAAATATTTAAAATGTCTTATGAATGCAACATGTACATGACAACGAAGCTGATGAGGCTCTGACAATGACAATGATTTATCTAATGGTTCTGAAAGATCTAAATTAGTTCAGTATTCCCTATAAGATCTCCATGGTGAACAGTAGTGTGCATCTTTCTGTACAATGGAATTATGAAGAAGTATTTATATAATTAATTTCTTAAAATGTAGATTCACAAATATTATGGTCCTTTGGAGTAGAACACTGGCATTATGTAATGCCATCTAGTTGTCAAAATTAGTGAGTACTTAAAAAACGTTTCTCAAGACAAGCAGGCCAAATCTAGGCAAATCTTTTTGGTGTAGGAGGTAGATGAGATGGAATATCCCATTCTAGCCAGATTCCTTATAATCTTCACGGTTGGGTCTCTGCTCTACTTCTCTGCCATCACGCAAGGGTAAAAATGGAAAACAAGATTGTCCAGATAAATACTATATCCTGGGCCCTGTGTTATCTGCCTTTTCTCTACTTTTTCTTTACATGTAGAAGCATCCCTTTCACTCACATTATCCCTAAGAGCTATTATTGTTTACTACATAGCAAGCTTTATGAATGAAATCAATCATCAGATGAGGCAAGCACGAGCAGTCACTTTAATCAGCTTAGTCCAAGGTTAAATTACTACACAGTCCCTCCAGATGCTCAAGACTTTTACTTCTCTTCTGTCTGCACAATTTTCCTTGTGCTACTTTTGGGGCTGTAATTGTCCTGGCTATTTCTACTCTTTAGTCTAAGGCTGAAGTATGTCCTTTGGAAGAACAAGGTCTTTTTTCCCTTTTGAGCCCTGGTTCTGATTTTTAAGACTATTCACACAGAATGATGGCCCCCTGTCTACCAACTAAACAAGTAACTCTCTGGTTAAGTTTTAGGTAGTTACTATCAAATAACCTCAGGTTCCAGCCCCATTTCTACTTCCTCCAAACTAAAGACACTGGATTTCCTTTCTCCCAAACTCAAGCTGTCCTTCCTTTATGGTCAATTCTGCATTTCCCAGCCCCTTCACAATACCATCTTATTCTTAAATGCAATTTTTCCCTTAAAAAAAATCTTGGTTTCTTTCCCTCCTTTTTTCTACAATTCTACTTCCCCATACCATCAACTCTCTAAAATGACATTTGCAGTTCTTCTAACAAAATGTTCAGTATACATCTCCTAGCCAGGGATAGTCCACTGTCCTTCCTTAAGAATTAAAAACATTTTTAAAAAGTTTTTAATGCAATTTTCATTTTTGCCCAGAATCTTTTACTCTCTTGTGTTTCCTTTAATTCACAATAAATTTTATTTGTAGAAATGAATCAGTGTAACAGATATTTAGCTTTATGATATATAATCAAATGGTACAAAAAAGAAAAATATAATATCATGATATATTTTTTCAATCTTATGTGGAAAAGAACTTAACATTTATAGAATTCTTATGACTCCTTTTGTGGAATGAGGAATTATTATTTAATTTTTATAAATCTGAAATTTCACAAATCAGGCATGCCTATAGGTAAAAAAAAAAATACCTTTAATAACTTGGCATTAGGACTAGCCTCTTATCCTAAGCTTTCAACAAGACTTGAACACTCATTTGTATTTCACTTTTAAAGTTATAACCCTATTTCTCAAGAAAAAAAGAACCAACTTCTTAAAACCAAAGGAAAAGAATAGATGGTCCAATGCATTTTTCAAGAGCAGTAGTTAAAAAGAAAACTGATAATATAACTGAGTAAAATTATACATTAACTCACATAATCATGGAAGGCTTTTGCTTCACTTGAATGTTCACATGTTTCCCGTCTTTCTGGAGCTGCACAGTAGAGATCCCAAAATACACTAAAAAAGTAATTATGGTAACATTAAGAAAATCATATAACACCAAATGAGAGATCACAATTCCAAAAATAGAAGACATGTATTATTTTTTATACAAAATGTATTTTCTTCTTCAGGACAAATATTTCTTTGGAAGATTTAAATTCAGGCAAGGTTCCTCCTGGAATAATAGCATATAATCTAGCTCTTTCAGATTTTTTATAAAAGGATAAAAAATTTTAAAAAATTTAACCTGTCATTCTTAATTGTCTATTTATATCATTTAAACACATGACTGAAATAATTATGCTTTTCACAACTCTCCCATGAAGATAAAAACAGTAAATAATATCCTAATTTAATCATTAAAGAATAAAGTGGTTCATTATTTTTTTCAAGATAATTTTGTTGTCCAACTACCAGGCCAAAATCCTGACCATTAAATCATATTGTTAAAACAAGTATATGTTCTTGGGCGCCTGGGTGGCTCAGTCGTTAAGCGTCTGCCTTCGGCTCAGGTCATGATCCCAGGGTCCTGGGATGGAGTCCAGCATTGGGTCCCCACTCAGCGGGGAGTCTGCCTCTCCCTCTGCCTCTGCCTGCCGCTCTGCCTACTTGTGCTCTCTCTCTCTCTGTCAAATAAATAAAATCTTTAAAAAAAAAAGTATATGTTCTTAAAATATCCTTTTGTTTGCCCTTGCAAATTACCAAAATAGGTTAGTAATTTTGAAAATTCAAAACGTCCATGCTCTTTCATTTTTCCCTTCTGTTCAAGAACAATGGGGATAAGCAAGGTAGAACTGGTTGGGAAAAAATAATTACACTGCTTACAAAACTTATGTCTCTGATCATCCTTCCATCTCTAAAATTAACAATGAGCATAAGCAAATGATTCAAAAATCAGGAATGCAAATATCTAGAAATATTGGCAACAAACAAAAGCAATTACACTGATGAACAGAAATCTTTTTTTATTATATATTTTTCATTCTACAAAAATTGGAAAGTAGACTAAATCAAGTAGTTAAGAGCATAGGTTCTGGAATAGGATATATCTCAGACAAAGCCAGCCCTGCCATTAATTACTAGCTCAAGTTGCTTAAAGAGATTAGAAACACAATCCTCCTCTCTATAAAATGGGGTTGTTGAGAAAATTAAATTATACAACATAAACAGAACATCTGACATAGAGTAAGCATACTATCAATAATATAATCAACACTATGATTAGCTTGCATAAAAGTTTAATATGCATACATATTGTTAGGGCAGGTCATTGTACCAAGGGCACAGGTAACAATGGTATAATAAAAATTTGGTAAATTAAACCTGGCCTCTTTGGTTTGACCCTTAAAGACTCAGTCTGAATCTCTCTCACCCCAGCTAGGAGAAAACATTCTGTAGGCCTTATAACACAACTAGTTCAGTAAAATAAGATTACCTTCAAAGGTGAAAAATATGAATGACTGAATATTGGCATTTAATTTCCTTTTAAGTTTCTGTAATGAGCAAGGAAAATAAGGAAAACAATAAAGAAAAATAATGTGAATAAACTTCAATTCTTTTAGGAGAAGGAAATCAATTAAAAGCTGTACTTGGCTTTCCTATATCCCTTTTTGGACTTAAGAATTATAGATATACAAAGATACAGCAAAAGTTTTCCACATGCATCAAGTGTGTTATGAGTTAGAGTATATTGTAATTATTCTATTTTCATGTTCTTAAGGAACTTCAAAGTTCTTAAAACCAAAGTTTTATAATGGTAGTCTTTACTGTATTGAGTTTAATCATAGAATATTATGTGCAGTATTGTAACAAACACCTTAATATCTCTTCTTATCCACTAATTTCCTAACAAATGTTATAAGATCTTTCTTGAAAATTATTACATTATTACTTTTAAAATGTTGTCTTACAAAGAGAAAACTATTAACTTATGATTAGAATGTATCCTAAAAGTTATTAAATAACTATAAATAAATGATTATTTATACATATATAATTAAGTTAAGTATTTATCCTGAAATAGTAACATTGTTCTATTTCTATTTTTTGGTTTCCCTTTATGGATTTAATTGGAGGTCAAAGTTTACAAGATCAAGATGAGGGATAATAAAACAATCTAATAAAATGGGATAACTTTATATATGGTATATTTCTGACAATTTTACATTACCTAGTATGATCTCCTTGAATAAAGATAAAGAAATACACCCTTTGAAGACATTTCCCAAAGGAAGAAATACACAGTTTTACAATAATAGTTACAGACATTAATACTCCATTCTCAATACTCAGACAGAAGATAAACAAGGAAACGGGGATTAAACAACACAATAAACGAACTAGATTTAAGAGATATATGCAGAACACTCCACCCAGCAACAATTATACACCTTTTTCTAAACTGTAATTGAGGCATTTTCCAGGAAAGGCCATAAGTTAGAGCATACATTAAGTCTCAGTAGATTTGAAAAGATAGGTATCACACAAAATATCTTCTCTGACCACAATGGGATGAAGTTAGAGATGAATAACAGAAGGAAAACTAAAAAATTCACAAATTTGTGAAATTAACACAAACTCCCAATGGATCAAAAAAGAATCACAAGGGAAATTTAAAAATACTTAGAGATGACATGAAAACAACATAGGAAAACCTATGGGACAAAGCAAAAGCAATAGTAGGAGGAAATTTAAAGCTATAAATATATTTAAAAAACAAGATAGATCTTACATCAACAACCTAACTTTAAAACTTAAGGAACTAGAAAAGAACAAATTAAACCCAAAGCTAGTAGAAGGAGATAATAAGGATTAGAACAGAGATCAATGAAATAGAGAACAGGAAAACAAAAGATAAAATTAATAAAACCAAAAGCTGGTTCTTCAGAAAGATCAATAAACTTGACAAACCTCTAGAGCTAGCTGAACTAAAAAGAGAGAGAGAGAGAGAGAAGACTCAAATTACTAAAGACTTCACCAAAAAAATGTTAGAACTAAATAAATGGATTCAGTAAAGTTGCTGGACATAAAATCAATATACAAAAATCAGTTGTGTTTCTATAAACTAACAATGAATTATCAAAAAGAGAAATTAAGAAAACGATTCTATTTACAATTGCATCAAAAAGAATAAAATACTTAGGAATAGATTTAACCATATGATTGATTTCTGGGTTTATACCCATAAGAATTAAAAATCTCAGAGATATTCATATACCCAGGTTCATAGCAGCATAATTCACTATAGTTAAAACATGGAAGTAATCCCAGTGTCCACTGATGGATAAGACAATGTAGTATATAAATGCAATGGAATATTATTCAGCCTTTAAAAGGAAGGAAATTCTAACATATGCTACAACATGGATGAACTATGAGGACATATGCTAAGTGAAATAAGCTAGTCCCTAAAAGACAAACACTATATGATTCTACTTCTACAAGGTACTTACAGTTGCCAAAAATCATAAAGAAAGAAAACAGAATGGCAGTTGACAGGGGCTGGAAGGGCACGGAATAGGGAGTTAGTGTTTAATGGATATAGAGTTTTAGTTTTACAAGATAAAAAGAGTTATGGAGATGGGTGGTGGTAACGGTTGCACAACATTATGAATGTATTTAATAACACTGAAATATACACGTAAAAGTAGTTAAGATGAATTTTGTTTTGTGCATTTTGTCACAATTTGAAAAAACTGAGGAAAAAAAAACACACAAAAAAACTTGCCCCTGGCGAGCCCTGTTCTAGACACCATTTTATAGTGACTAAAACAAATGTTAATTCTTTTCTGTTTATTCATAATCTCTATTCCATCACTTCAAAGACCATAGAGCTAAGGTGGCCACCAGAAAGCCATGAGATACTACTAATAAAGAATACTCATCACAAAAATAAGGCAAAATTTCAATTTATAAAACCCTACTCATTAGGAGAGTTTCATAATTAAGTCAAAAATAATCTGAAATATATTATGAAATTCAAACTATAAAAATTTAAAAAATTAAATAAAAATTTATTTTTAGTGCTCTGATATTCATGTTAAAAACATTTCATCTATTTTATAAGTATTTGTATGTTTTTATCTAAGATGTGATCATAGATGGGAAAGATATTTCAAATGTTTATCTCTTCTAGAAAATCCAACCCATGTTTTGCACTAGTTATTTGACTCATACAATATATTGGCACTGCTACAATACCATCCTAATATTTGAAAAAAATTAGTTATATCATAACAACAACAACAACAACAACAAAGCTGCACTGTGGCCAAATCATGAGTTCACATTCTGCAATTAATCCATGCTTGGCTTTGTGGGGCAGTAGACAAATCACTTAGCTAATTTAGAAAATAACAAGGTTAAAGACCTCTATAAACCCTTGGTAAATTAAAATTTTAAACTATGATTTTCTTCTACTAATATTTCAAGTATATATTAATGCATAATCTATGCAATAGCTACATCATATCCTGCCTAAGAGAAAAAAATATATATAATCTATGGCATGTATGTGACTATGAATCCAAAACTAATGATGAGTTGAATTCAAAATTTCAACTCTATTTCCTAAAGCACCTAAATACAACTTTATGTAGAAGTTACATCTCATATATTATTAAGACTTTACAAATAATCTGGACAAATTCTTTTGGCTGATATTATGATGACATGACATTTATCATATGAAAATGTGGACCTATGTCTTTGAGGAGAAATTTGGCTTTTTAATTAAGTAGGTAAGAGTCATAGCAATACTTGATTTGCTCTTAGCTGGAGGAATTTCATTTGATTTCTTTAGTAAGCTTTTTTGATGACCCACTGAACTCGTTCCTTGATTCTCCTGAGGGCGAAGGGCAGAAAATTCTGGAATTCCACAGATAACAGATTTCTTCTCTCTACAACCAGAAATGCTAGTGGCTAAGGAGCTTCTCATTTGCTCTCACGTCTACATCTATTAAGCCTGATATCAAAATATTATCCTTGAAATGTGGTGGATTCATCATCATGAGTAA